AATATATAAGCTCAGACAAGCATGTAAGTGCAAAGGATTGAAAGATTAGCACTAACGGCATTTACCACTAAGCATAGTTGGATGCGAAAAACAAAAATTAAAATAAATTACACACAGTCTATCACAGGCGACCCAACAAAGCAAGGATATACGCAAAAGGAATGTGACCGTCGAGACCACTGGCCGTGCAGGCAAAGCACATAGGCGGACAATAGCAGCTGATGAGCGGGTTTTTTCACATTTTCTTGCCTTTCAGATTAGTCCGTTTTACTAGTTTCCTTTTTTTTTCTACGCAATTACCATATTGATTGCTATCGGCTTTGAATCAAGACATAATGAGAAGTTAGCTAAAATATAGAAGGCAGAGAGAGTGTATACGGAGAGATTACAAGAAAGATGCGGGGGTTAAGTTCGATGGGTGTATATAAAACATTGCTAAACTAGATACATGATTATTTTATTTTATTTTTTTTTTTTTTTTTTTTTTTTTTTTTTTTTTTTTTTTTTTTTTTTTTTTTTTTTTTTTTTTTTTTTTTTTTTTTTTTTTTGTGCCTTGAGCTGACAGAAACGAGAGAAAAAACTGAACAGACAATGAGCAGCTTTTACATTTTCAATCCGTTCGTTACAAACTATAGCATCTATTATGTAATAGAAGGGGAGAGGATGTGCAGTAACAGCTGGGCTGCTGTTCGGTCGACAGATAACGGTAAAAATAAAAAAAGAGATTTACTTATTTTTTTATTTAACTTGTATGATATTTTTTTAAATATATTTTTCTACTGCTGAGATTTCTTTTATAAAAATAATTTTTTTCGATTTTCTTCTATTGCAGTTTTTCTGTGATTTTCCGTTTTCCATTTTCTATTTTATTTTTTATTTATTTCTCTTTGTTTTTCGCTTTGGTTTTAATGTTGCTTTGTGTTCTTTCTTTCGCATAAATCGGATTGCTGCGCCCTGACAGCTTAGCTGGTCGGCAGTTCATTTTATTTGATTTGAAATGAAAAGACTGTCTTATCAGTCGGCAGCTTGTGGTCCAAAGAGCGCGATAATAACAGTAACATATACGAAAGAATACATCGAAAAAGCTTGAAAAATCTCTAATTTTGCACGCTTTCACGAGAACGCGATTGGAAAAAATGTTGAAGCTGCGAACGCAAACTAGTAACGGCAAATAAATAATACATTAAATTTGAGTCTGTTTTATATGCAACGTTGTTGGCTCATAAGCTAATATTCTTAACCTCGGTGGTATTTTTCTATTTTTGCTGGCATATTTAAGAGCGCTTTAATAATTTATAGAAGTATTAATAAAAAATAGTTTCTGCTAAATATACGCTCTCCCTTTTGCCTGCCTGACTTTCAGCTTTTCTCCCTTTCCACACTTTTGCTATTTTCCTCCAGCATTATTCTTTATTCCCCATCGTTCTGGTTGCACGCTGTGACAGCCGTCAGAATTTTTTACCGAACTGCCGTTAGTTTGCAGCGGTTTTCCACGTAATCAGCGCTGCTATTGTTTACGCGCGCGCCACCCTCACACACACACACATACTCCCACAAAAAAATTGCCCGCCATTTTCCCAATCAAGGCGGCGCCACCATTCCATTCACCGCTCTATGTATTTTTGCTGCCGTCACTGTTTGCGCATCAAACTAGAAAATTGCATTTTTTCCAGCAGCCCGCAAAAGCCACTGCGCCCCCCAGTGCTCGCTCGCTAAAAACAAAGGATGTAGCAGGCAGCGTCACCAACGGCAGCCGAATAGTGCGACAGAAACTAACTATTATGTTGGCTGGCAATAAAAATAAAATAAAAGTGGCAAAAATAAGCAACAACAACAAAAAATAATACATCGATTGTCGTTGTTGTGTTTGTTGTGGCAATGCGCGTAGAAAAAATGGCGTCGCTGTCGCCGTCGTTTGTTCATTTCACCGACATTCAGCTTTAGCCTCGGTGTATGCGGTGATTTTGTTGCCTCGATATTGCTGTTGTTGTTGTCACTGTTTGTTACTGTCACCATTTGACACCGCATGCTGGCGCCATAATGACCCCAGACAAAAGCTGTAACACCACTGAAGCAACTCTAGCAATAAGTGAACCTATGTAACGCAATGTTTTTGTTGTTGTAAGTGTGTTTATGTATTGGTGTAAAAGTAAAACGAAAGCCACGCAAAATACCCAGCTTAACAAACAGATACAAAATTGCAACGACGCAGCAACGACGTTTTGTTGTCATTCAATTGGTTTATGAAAGTATGGATATAAGGCTTACATGTCTATGGCTTTTAGGACTTACAGTTACAGTTTTATTTTCTGCTTTTATTTTGACCAAAAATAACCACAATGTATTTGTACTCTTGAAATACCAACATATTTCATACAAAATGTTAAATTTTACGGATAAAAACTGGCAACAGAGAACTTGGATTCATTCCATGCTAATTAACAGCTCACCGTAATGCTTTATGGACGGGCAAACCATTATAAAAGCAATGAACAGTTTTAAGAGTGCGTAGTGTTTTTATTATTCACGTTTTACACAAATAAACGTCCAAGGGTTTACAAAATTAACGCTATTCCCAGATTAATGTAAATTCTGTTGCCTAAAGATCGTGGAAATGTGCTTCTGTTAACAGAAATGTTAACTGTTAATCTACACTGTTATTTCAGTGCTGCTGTTAGAAGAGAATGAGGGTGCAAATGTAAATTGTACAAAACTGAAAATATCAAATTAAATTAAATGCAACAAAAACCAAGTCGCATAAAATTTATCTGTTATTAACATCGCTTAAGTGAATTGTTTGCTGTTGTGAATGTTATGAAAATAACTTATGTTAGATATTTCATGTTAAGGGACACACCTGTTTTTAAAAAAGCAACATACCGCAAATTTAAATTAATATCTCAAATAGCTTTTGAGTTACAGCCTTATAAAATGTAAACGCGCAGTTTATTGAATTTACATTTTCTGCAAATAGCACTTCAGTTAAGTACCATGACCTACCACTTTTTTATCCAGAAAATTTAAATTTTTTTTAAAAGTCACCTACATATTTGCCAATTTTTTATTTATTTCGTCGTAGGTCATTGCACGAAGAATTTATTATTTTTCAATTATGTATAAATATATCCATAAAATTTTTAAATATTGCTATACTAGGTTTGTTTACGCTTTCTTACTAAGTATGGCTCTTAAATGCTTATATAACTCGTTTATTTCTCTTAAATTTGTAAAATCTTAAAGAAAATTAGCACTTTTTTTAGAATTATCCTTCCGTAAATTAAAGCTATTTAATTTCTCATGCTTTTTTAATAGCATTGTAGGCGTCTAAAGTTAGAAGATCTATCTAACCACACTTGTTTTCGGTTAAGGCTCTTTGCCTAAATATTTAAATCTTATATATTTTTTTAATCTTTTTTACCATAAAAGTCGTTTTTGTAGAAACATAATTTACATTAAAAATAAAACTCGAATGATTTGTGTCAATGAGCGGCATAGCACGGTTATCATCAAAGATTTTAACACATTTCTGTCTTTGTTCATATGAAAAAAGTTAACTTAAAGGTGAGGTAAGGACATAATTTTGTGTAGCTGGACAATACCTATAATAAAATTTATTCACGTTTTGTAAATAGTGTGTGTCGAGTACTTTGTTCAACATATGGTCAACATAATCGGCCTACTGAGTGTGCTATTCGCAACAAAATATAGCAGAAATGGCTGTGAGTGTACATGAAAACTGACGAATGGATTCGGCGCAACTCGGACTGACCTATGGAATGACTTGGCGCAGTTCACGTCGAAATTCGGTCAATCTTTCGGATTCGAAGTTTTTGAGCCAAATTTTGTGCGACGATGGGGTTAATTTCTGGCTCAATGGGACTAAAAAAACAACCTGAAAAAATTCAAAAGCTGCTATTTCATTTTTATAGCCGGTGAAATTTGTAGCCTAAAATTGAAGCTCGTGATCTCGGCGACATTTGGTTTCAATAATACGGCACCCGTGTTCACGTGTTGGGCCGGTCGATTGACACTAAGATTGTGTGACTTTTTCCTGCAGGGTATATACGATCTAAAGTCTGTGTAAACAATCCCGCTTCGATTCTGGCCTTGGAGTAAAACATGATCGTGACATTCAACAGTTACCAGTCGAAATGCCCGAACGAGTAATAGAAATTAAGACTCAACGCATGGACTCCCTAAATCGAAGCCGCAGCCAATATCTAAAAGAGATTATCTTCAAAAAATAAATGCCAAATTTTCTTGAAAAGCTGGATTATATACAATTAAGTTTTCAAAAACGCTAAAAATCATTATTAGTGTCAGTTTAAGATAAAGTTGCAACAGCAGAAAGCGAGTTAAGCTCGAGGTAAAGGATATTTTGTGTATGGTAAGGAAGGCGTTTGTGAGAAGACAATTGCCAAAGTGAGTATAAACTCTAGTTTACAGGACCAATTAAATAAAGAAACCTTATTTACACGCTCGGCATTAAGGAAACCAGAAAATAGTAGCTAAGGATAAATTTAGAAAAAGGTGAAATTTTCTAACGTATAGATATATCTACTCTATATCCAAAGTATAGTTTTAAGCGCTCAAAAATTCCAAAAATTGATTCCAACCCTTATGAGTTCGTCCTCAATGTTTTAGAATATTTCAGCTGAGACAAATCGTCATCAAAGTTTCCTTAAAAATATATTCTTATACATTTCAACTCTTTTACTATATAATAACATGTGAAAAAGCAACAAGTGGAGTTAAGTGAAAGCGCATAATATAAAAACAAAGAAATATGTATTGATAAAAGTGAGTGAGTAACCAGAACTCGGCTTAGTAATGTGAGCTGAAGCGATAAAGGTATAATGTGGAATGAAAGTGTGATATAACTGTAAAGCGCAAATATATATCATATTTCTTATAAATTTTTTCTCGAAATCGACAATTGCTACTTTTACTACCAAAGCAAAATTGTTTCAAACCTGTTTTCCAATTTCTTTTTTAACACTTCAAAGTAACCAACTTTTCTTTTTACACTTCGAACTTCACTTGTTTTTGAGACTTCAAAACTTCTCCGATATACTATAGATGCGTTTCACACTCACACACTTGCGTCTTAGGCGCTCACATTCGATTTCCCGAAAGTCCGCATGCGACGACGAACACGAATTGGACAAACCGAACTCGCGTTCCTCACCCAAACCGGGATCACTGTCCTCACCGCACGAGGCCAGCGACGCGGAACCGGCCGAAGCGGACGCCGACGAGTCGGACGAATCACCGCTCGTATCCGATTCACAATCCGATGTGCTGCCGTCACTGTCGTGCGCAGTCGTATGTGCAGCCGACGCGTTGGCGTTACGATTTCGTTGATTAGCACGTTTAACCGAAGTGGTTGTTGTTGTTGCAGTAGGATTTGGCGGATCACGCGACGGACTGGCAATCACCGCTACACCATGCACCAGCACACTTTCCACCGCACACGCGGCGCGTCTACGTTCGTTGTACGTTTTGTTGTTGTTATTGCTGTTTCTATTCTTATTATTGTTACTCAATATGGCGCGCTTCAAGTCCACAGCCAATGGCGACGCAGGCACCGTCGCCGGCGGCAAGCACTCAAAATGATTCACCACACACGCCGCTGGCTGTTGCGTAATGACGCCCGCTGGCACGCCCAGCACCGCTGTGGTCTCGGGAAAGATGCGATTATCTGAATTGGAAGCGCCGAACTTCGAGAATAGCGAACGCGCTGAATGCTTATTCTTTTGCTGTTGTTGTTGCAGAAAGTAGTAGTCGCGCGGTAGTGATGAAGTGGCGTACAATTCTTGCGACTCGTAAGCACTACGATAGGCGGGACGAAAGGCGGCGCCGCTACTATTGCCGCTGGCCACACTCAAGCTCCCGCTACCGGCGGCCGAGCCGAATGTGCTGCCCAAACCGCTGCTATGCAAAGCTGGCGTACTCAATGAATTGTCACCGGCGTTGCTGGGTGCACCGCTGCAGCTGCTGCTGCGTATGCTGCCCGCTAGCTGTTGTTCGAGTTGTTCGCGTTGTTGTTGTGCGCGTAACTGTTCACTTATAATGCTGGCGGTGGAATCGCTGGGCGTCAGCGATACGCTGGAGGTGGCGGCCAACAACTGGGCGCCCAAGAGCGGCGTCAAATTCGCTATGAATTGCTCTTGCTGCAGCTGTTGTCGCTGCTCGTCCAATTGGCGGCGATACGCTTCGATTTGATCGGTCGAATTCGGTGACGTACTATGTAGGCATCCTTGAAAGAAATCCAGCGCTTCGTATATTATGAAACATAACCCAAGGACAAGGAATGTCTCCATCATAAAAAAGTGGTGGCCCACAGCGGCATTTTACGCCAAAAGCCACAACTAAGCGACACGACGCACACACACACACACAGATAGAGACACCAATATACGAGGCCAGGCTGTGAGCGAGCACGACGCGTAATCGTTTGCCGAAGACAGAAATTCACTTTATAGTTGCTTATTATTGTTGTATGTGCTTTGAATTGTTTGTTAATTTATTTAAAATCATTTGTGATTATTAAAACGATTTTTAAATTAAAGCTTTTTGTGCGGTGTTCTTTTTAATATGCTTTCTAAAATACTCCTGCTGAAAATTTAAGCCTAAAATTATAAGACAAATAGCATATAAGATCATTGCACTGTGTGCACGTGAAGCGCTTTGCGAAATTTTGTGAAAATTTGCCAACAATTTGCGAAAGTAATACTACAAAACCAACAAATAACCAAAAAAATTAATAAAAGTGAAATAACAGTTGTGATATTGCGAGAAAATTAAAGAAACTTGAGCATACTTACGTTTTTTTTGTTTTTGTAAAAATTGTGGCCTACGTTTAGGAGTTTTGCAATTTTTTTTTCTTACTTATGCGAAAATATTTTTTCTAATGTGTAATAAATTTGCAATATTCACCACCATCTCATAATTAAAAATGTTCTATACTAAACATTCCTTAATAAGTGCAGCATACTTTCAGGCGCATTTTTTTTAAATCAGGTAATTAGTGCAAAGTATTCAGTAATTTTGCTCTTGCATTAATACCAATTATTTATTTCAAAATAGTTTGCATTTGCCAGCAAAAATAACAAAGCTACAAGCAGCCAGAAACAGCGAAGCGCAGAGAGCCAGATAGCTGCAACATAAGCGAGCATTTTCAATGAAATTTCAACCGAATTTGCTAAATTAAATTAGTAAATATTTTATTTGTAAAATTTGTGCTTATTTAAATAATGTTTTTGCAGCTGTTGGGAAATAACTGTGCACTATTATGCAGATAGTTTTGTAAATATTTAGGCAAGGCAAAGCAATTAAGTTTATAAAAATCTAAGCATACTATTTATATTGCATTGTTAGCATTAAAAAGTGGTAGCAACTAACTTACATATATGTATACATCGCAATGTATATTCCTCATTTATTATATTTAAATTTCAAATATTTGTGGTAAGCAAAATTACGTGATTTTCATGAAAAAAAATGTGCAAATTAAGCCATGGCTTCAAATGGGAGGAAAATAAATTAGTGTAGAATGTAAATATATCCGGATTTTTTAACCAAAAGAATGTAAACATTCACGGATTTTTCCACGGAATTATTGTGGCAATATATTATTATGAACCTATAGTGGTTTTTGGTTATATTGTGTGCACTAAATTGAGTTCAAAAGAACAGAGTAACTATAGAAACAAAAAGTTGATAAAGCGTGATAAAAAAAAATGTTTAACAGTCAATTGAATAGATTCCAATTTAGGACTTACGAATCCCTATATGATAATAAAACATATATTATTTAAACTCAGCAGCCTTCCAAAATCTTAGTACCAAAATGGAAATATATTTCCATTCAAACCAGCGGCCTCCCAATATACAATGATGATCCAAATCTCCTATAAAATTGAGGCCGAATAGGACACTTTATCCTGACCACACTAGATAGATCCTAACCCTTAAAGAAATCTGGAGATATGTATGCTTAGTCAAGTTTGTTTTGTTTTTTGTTTGCTAGAAAAGGCTTCGAAGTTTATGGTTATGGTTTATGGCTCGGCTAAGCTGTGAATTCTCACTTAGTTTAAAAAAACAAGTATAAGAAAACTACATAAAACTGGCACAAACTTAGAACACATTCCAGATAACCCATAGAAATATATATCAAAATATGAAGATCTAAATCAGCCATCGCATCCGATGAATTTTAAATATTACTATGTTAATTTACAGCATAATTTGAGAAAAATATCTGTACAGCAACCAGTTAGTGAAATTCAAACAAAAAATTCAAGCCGCCTAGTTCTGAACTGAGTTCACTTTCCAGTAAAAATTTTTGCCATCAAAATCGCGTAAGAACAGTGATCAGAGATAATCTGACATGCACAGATTATGCAACGCTCGGCGAACACAATAAGCTATGTGTTAATTGATTTTTCTTAAGTAAGTATCTGCTTTGACTACTTTCCTTTATTAAGGATTATGTACATACAATATGCATAATAGATCTAAGGTCGCGGCACAATCCACGTTTATCCATCTTACCAACAAGTCTCAGTCAATTAGGAAACGTTTCACAAGTTCATATTTTCTGAAACACCCTGTACTCGCACAATCCATCTTAACTCAAGGAAATTGAATTTTTATTAGACATAACTTCGTCGAACTGCTGAAATGGAAAGTGGCAATCAACCACTAATTAAGGGAAATTTGAAATTTCACAAGAGCAGCGCGCGTTCGCGAAGCTTAGTATTTAGTCTACAGCAAAAATAGAAGCGGCACAGCAGCAGAGCGCTATGCACAAACTGAAATAAGTTTAGAACCGGCAATTGCTCAGCCAGCGTTAATTCACAGAATATTACAAGGTCGCTTTTGAGCGTCTAACAGTGAAATTACAATTTTATCAGTGAAAAGAGATGCTGAAGATAATTTGTCGCAACGAGATACAAACAGTGAAGCAAACAAGCACATGCGAACTTGAATAATTATACAAAGCATTAACTTTGAAGCATAACTCACGGCGTTCAAAAGCTGTCTATAGTCGAAAACCTAATTCACTTTCAATTAAAAACTCACCACAAGTGTTAAACCAATTTCAGGCGATTCAACAAATTGAATTTTGAAGACAGACAACAAAGCAGCGATGGCTGTCTAAAATTTAAAAGTTAAAGGGCGAGTGACATACGAAACTTTTAGCAATTGCGGTGAAGTATAGAAAAGATATTTAAAGTATATATACAAAAGTTATTTGATAAGACATCCGAAGCAATAAAACTTTAAAGCATACTTTTAAGCGCACAGTTATTAGTTACTAAACTCTATAAACTAGTTTATCGCGTTACCGCTATGTTTGGAAATGCTTTTAAATGACCACGCATGTTTGTAATGCATAACAAATTGAGGTGCAAATGCGGCTACAGCAATTTACTACAACTTCAATCAAACTCGATTACGTAAGAAACTTTTGCTGCTTGCGAGTGTTGCCAAATGCGAAAAGTGGTAAAGTTTTCGGTTAAAATCGGAAGATTAAACTCACAAAGTGTTCTACTAGCAATAGTTTATAGCATCAATACATTGGTCCAAAAACTATGCTATGAAAATTATCACAATTTTAAGTTATGCAAATCAAGAGGTTCGCTTTAATTTATTTATTTTTTGTCTACTTTATTTTGTGGCTTTCCGACTTATCTTAACTGTTGCATAATTCTACTGCTACATTTAAGGTTTCATTAACTAAAAGTTAAATGTACATTTTAGTGCATAAAATTACCACTACGGTGGTGACTGTTTGTATTATCTCAAAGCTTTAGCGACAAAAAGTACAGTAGAATATCGGAACTTGCACGTATATGAAAGTTAGACAGCCAGCGTCGATTGAACTCATATATAGTACGCCTAAAGCTATACTGCACTGTTTATTGGTGTCATCTATTCGCATTTTATACGAACGAAAGTAATTTTAGAGTCATGCCGTGGTAATAATGCATAAACGCAATTCAATAAATATAAAATCCACTGAACCAATGAGTACTTGTATTATTTTTCCGCTTTTTTTTTTTTTTTGTTTTTTTTATAACTGACTAAACCGACTTCAAGCTAAGCAGCTATATGCCTGTCTTTAAGCATTATAAATAGGTTAATCTTCAAACAAAGCCACACATTTATTATTTTTAGAACAACTTTTCATGAGTCGGCAATTTTCAGAGGTTTCAAGGCAACATATTTTAACTTGCATTTGAATGAGTGTTTGTGTGTTTCCTGCCCCACCAACCCTTTTTAAGAAAATTTGTTTCCAAAAGGTTAACTAAATAACATTACTGTCGTGATATCGCAGAAAATTGGAATACAACATTCTTGCGCGTTGCAATGATTGCCAGCAAAGAATTCTTAAAGTGACTTGCGAGCGTTAGATTTGGGTAAATGCAAGTCATTCGGTTTAATTTCAAGAAAATCCCCAATTCAATATTTTTATCAATTTTGAAATAACATATTTAAATATGTATGTAAGTAGAGTAAATGCAAGCTACATAGTAGCAAAGGTAGTCATATACCTATTGAAGTTCCCATTTACATCTAGCGAAAGCCATTTAATGGCGAGGTCACTTCAGCGGTTATGTCAATATCGATAACAAGGTAATAAATTTTTTTTTTTTTTTGATTTTTTTTTTTCTGAAAAGATATTTTGTTTTTTGAACAAAATACAGTATAGTTCATATGCCGTTTTTATTTTTTTTTTTCCTAACACTACTCAAAAAATCTAAAGAAAAAATTTGATACTGATGTGCAAAGCGGTCCGGAGGGGTATTTGAGGTATTCTGATTACGAATTTGAGTTCAAAAATTTTCCGTCATGTTTAGTTCTTTTGGTCATTTAAGTAAATTTTCGTAGGTTGACTTACACAGGAAGTTTTTTCTCATTAACTCAAATTCAAAAACGAAATAAATGATTCACTTTGTTCACTATAGATAAATACAAGGGAAATTTTAAAGACTAGTCAAAAAAGTACGTTTTTGGAGCCAAAAAGAAACTTAAAAAATCAAAACTATTATCAACGAATAAAGAAGGGCTTACTTCGGGTATAGCCAAAGGTTTTATACTCTTTCAACTTGCACGAATCAAAGTCCGAGAAGTTTCTTCAGAAAAATGTGGGATTTGGGAATTGTAGATTAGATATATGCGGGCTCAGGGAAATATTGACCCGAGTCAAGTCATTTTTGAAACACAGTATTACTATTGTAAGGAAATGATTATCTCTGCATTTCACTTGTATACCTCAGATATTGATTGATATTTTCGTTAAAAAGTCAGTACTGGACTAAACATTTCCGGTATTTAGGGGTTTGTACTGTTTTTGGACAATTTTTGGTCATAATATGGTATACGCTAATGGCATTATTCATGCAAAGTTTTATTCCGTTTAGTAGTTGCTTTTAAATTTTTTCAGTGGAAATGAAAGAGTCACAGGGAACTTTGAATTGTGTTATATGGGAAGTAGGCGTGTTTGCTATCCGATTTCGCATAATTTCGCACTGGGACATAAAAATGTGAGAAAAGTGTCAGGAACCAACTTTTAAGTGAAATCGGTGGATCGGCTCCCGAGATATGTGATTTTACATAAAAG